CTTGTATTGTAAGAGGTAGGGATTACAAAAATTCTGGTTTCTTGTGGACCAACTAAGTGAACTCTCTGTTACATATAGCGGAGTAAGGTGTTCGTCTGTGACTTGCTTTTACTTCGCTAGGTTTGTGCACCCTTGTATATTCGACAGTCATAAGACTGAACGTGTATAAACTGTCTTCAGTACAGAGTACTAATGGACAGCAATTGTTTTCTTTGTTTCTTCATCTAGTCGTCGTCAATTCGTGCCCTAGGCGTATTTGTTCTGTATCCCTGCCTCAGAGATGACGTACTGTTTGTAGCGGACACAGCGAATGCCGTGCTCACTGCCATGACAGACGCAAAGATTATGGTTAGGATGAAGGCGGCCTGGGCTCTAGCCAATCTCAGTGACTCCCTGGTGACCAATATGTGAGTCAACAAACACTATATTAAATCCGAAAGTGAATCCTTAAACTGGACTTCTACAGGCAGGTCACACTGTAATATTATATAATTGGAAGCAAATGACATTGTGTGCAGTACTTTCAGTCGACGTGGCCACGCCAATACATTTCTGACGCGGTCTCGCAAACACGTTTTGATGTTAACAAGAAGAATATCTCCAATTTCCCCCTTCCCCTCCCCTCCGCAGTTAGTTGGTTAGTACTTTGCTTGCTCTCAGAGGAAAAAATTGAAAGGTACAGGGTACAATTCAGACAACCTGCAAATCTGCGCGTCATGACTGACTTCTCGGGCTTTATTTTATCGTCGGAATGTGTCTGTGAGGATTAACTTACAGCTGTTGTACACTGTTGCTAAGTAACAATGACGTATCTCAAAGGCCACACACCGAACGGGGAACGTTTCGGAGTACTTGCGAGTGCTCGTTCTGTGTTCTGATCGGACAATAATAGTCGGAAAGTCTTCCGCGTTGAACATACTGAAAATAACAATGTGGCTTCCTGCAAACTTATCACATTGTTAGATGTATTCCTTAATCGTAAAAATGGAGCAGTCCTTATTTCTTAGCGAAAATAAAGTATTGCATTCTGACCTAAGTTCTGTGACCTAACATCACATTCTGACCACCGAGGGATTTTCTATCTACGCTGACTGCCCGAGTTAGTACAACTGGACTCGATACGAGACTGCCCCGGTGAGAAAAGTGATTACAATGCAGTTTTCTACCCTGATGAAAGCAGCAATGCCGAAACGTCGGACATTCTGTGACATTTTAACGTCCG